AAATCCAATTACAGTTACTTTACACAAGCATTACGATGCGCAAACGCAGTGACGCGGATATGCATCGCATTGTTGCAAGATACCAACTGTCCAATTTACTCTTGACGTTAAATTTACCCTTGTAAAGATCGGCTCTACTCATCGTTTGCGAAATCGTGTCGTTCATAGTCACTATTGAACATAGACTTATATGTATATCATTCATATGTCATTTTTTGCATTCCGTCATTCTTTAAAATTTACAGTTCTAAACAAACCTTTACCAACTGTCAAAAGCGATCCTGTTTCATTTTATACAATAATGAACTTACTGTAGTTTCCATGGGATTCCCTTTCATGTAATACTTCACGATTCCAAATCTACAAATGCGATCAATTGTCAAATAGAGTCGCCTGTTCACAATCGGTTACCATTCTCATTCCAGAAGACTATTACACAATGTCTTCTCAATTTGCAAAATGACATGAATTTCAATGAACCGACATACATTAACACTGTCAGCTTAATAGTAATCGTATTATATCCTATATGCGCTCCAAATGAGCGACATTTACGAGTATAGACATTAAAGAGAATCGCTAGATAAGTACAGTACTATTTACTTATGTTTATTTACATAGAAATGTCCGACGACGCGACTCTGGCTATAGTTACAGAGCATATAGAGATATTAATTACAGCTCTTTAAATATATTTCTATTACATATTACAGTTATTATGATTAGATATAGTAACACGTGCAACGTCGGCAGCAATTCGGTGACTCGATATGTCACGTGCGCCGACGCAACGCGCGACGCCGCGCGGCCGAATATAGTGCCGCGGCAAGCGATTAGTAACACAACATCAAGGTATAATATCAGTATGTATATGCGATTATATAATATTGTAACATCCCACTTGCATATTGCCCGCTAAATACACAGTTTAGTGCAATGTTAACAATAATTTAATATAACGGGCCTACGATGGAAGATCTAGATTTGTGTTGAAACCATTTGTACAGTTCTTACTCCGATAATACACATAATTATTACCTAAAATATACATGTTGCAGTTTCCGATGACATGACCGCGCCGCGACAAGCACGACGCGACTCCGACTGTTGCTCTTTAATATATATACCAACACACCGACCACAATTCATAACTTCACACATTAAGTATGATATAAAGAATAGTCATAGAAAAATTGCAAACAATACTATTCCGTTTTTAAATTTGAATATTAAAATAGTTACGACCAAAAGACAAATAAGATAAGTACCTATTACGAAACTAGTTATAAGTAGTAAACTGACATAATTTTGAAAACTTATAATATTACTGTCCAAATATAATTTCACGAAATTTGTAGTGTGAGCTATAAATCGTAGGTGGGTGGAACTGTCACACTAATATTACGTATTCGATATCAGTACTTATACTCGTAATGCTCAGACAAAGATAAAAGTCAAGAGATCACTACATACAGGAAAAGTATAATAACTAAACCATGCCAACAAATATAATACAATTAACAAGTATAAGAACAATTAAGAAAAATCGAAATGTACCTAATCTTATTTGTCCCAAATATGTTACCATTTCTGAATTTGTCTAAAATGTCTAAAAACGATTTATTACAAAATAATTAAAAGAGTTTCAATCATTAAAAGACTTAATTCTACGGTGGCATCAAAGAAACTGGCAAGACGATTGCAACTTATATGACTCGTATTTACTTGTATACGGTGCACGATCATAGTGTTCACTCTTCACTTTTTTCTTTCTCTGAGACGTAATGATATGTGATTATTAAAATAACCCCATATTTAATTATTATACATACAGATTTGGATCACTATTTGGTAAGTTTATATATCTCTATAACTATTGACATTTGTTCATAATAAGCACTAAATAGGAACGAATTAATAACTAAACACCTATTAATTGTAAACATTCGTAAATAAAAGATATTTCTATAAAATAGTCAAACGCATGTGAATGCAGACTGGAGTGGGGAAGATTGGGGAGGGAGGCTTGGGGCAGTGAATGTAGTATAAAGTAAATAGTTAGATAAAAAGCGAGCCAAGAGGCCGTCAATACTCTACAATAATACTGTCTCGGGCCTGCCTTCTTTGGCACGACATTACATTATTATTTAAACTCGTAATTATAATTTATATGTATATAGAACATCGAAAAATACTTAAGATTCCGTTTACGTGAATCAAAATATTGTAAAAAAACGCGCGTAATGCCGAATCATGTCGCCCCTGATGCGATTGGTGATAGTCTTAATTCATAACAAGTATATTGATTATATAAAACTGTATATGTATAAGCGGAACAGTTATGCAATTAATAACCTAATATATAAACCTATATAAAATAATTTTAGGACTATATGAATAGATTTGAACAGTAATTTGTCATATACGAATGATTAGCGGCATAGAATAACTTGTAGTAAAATAAACATAGTTCTAACATCGCATGCAGGGGCTTAATACTTTTAAATTCATTATCGACTATGTCGTATAAGTTTAAGTACAGACCGCTATTAGTAGCAGCTATAATTGTTACAATTTGTTAAAATTAAATTTATCACGTATTTCCTTAATAACAGATGTCATATAGGCGCGACTGTGGTGGCCTGGCAGCTACGTATCGGCATACATGGTGCATCCATCAGGCACAGCACCCCGTCCTCGACAATCGTCCTACTTATAGTTATCAGTCCACCGATAGTACTCTGCCCTGTATAGTAACTAGGCCATGCCGTAGCTAGTCTTACGATCGTTTCTCTGATGACAGTCAGCGCTTGTATATTAACAATCCGTTATATAATTTTTATAAAATTTTATAATACACTTCAACAAATGAAATAGACATTCGTCTAATATTTGGACCCGAGGACTTGGTCGTGAGCATTTCATGCGGGTTCAGCAGGAAGGTGACGCGGGGTGGGACTTGGGACACAAGTTTAGTTCAATAGCCTATCAGTAGCGAATGGACGATATAAGACAATTGACTACCACATAATAATTGCCTTTATAAGGCAGAGAAAGCTCATTTTTTTACAACTGACTTAACTATAGTAAGACTATCTTATATTGACTCTAATTATATATGGAAAGGATGTGCACGAACAATCATCCACTTTTATTTACACTAAAATATTTCGTATACGTATTGATAATAATTGTAATACTAAGGCTATATTTGGCTACATAGAGGGTGTCCGAACAACCCATTGACATGGACGTTTGCATTCTGCTCGAGTAGCGAGTCAGCCGCAGTACATGTATTAATATAAAGTAAACACTATACTACTGCAAGCAATATTTTTTTTATTTTTTTATTATTTTAATAGCAAGTATCTATAGAAGAAGGATATATTTTTTAACGCATTAATATATTTTTTAATCTTCTACTTTTTTCTCATCTGATCGCCCAGATCCATTCAGGACAAGAACAGTAGGTTGCTATTTACATAGTATTATATCATTATTGAAGAGTGCACAGCAAATATACTCTGGATTATAATTTTAGATTTACAAAGAGCTTTTCTTGTATGTATGCTCATAAGTGTTATATAATATATATGAATTTACTCTGTTTACAACGAATACTTTTTTATATACCTTCTAATTAGATAAACAAAAAAGGTTACAAAGCGACACGTGTATGCAGCCAAATAATGCTAATTTCCAGTTATGTACGCAATTAAATCCTCGGTAAGCAGCAATATGTACACTACGAACGCTGTAAGAGTACCTGGATAGCAGTAAATCAATGTCTTAATCGTATAATAAGTACACTATGAGATAGCATAATATCATGTTATCAATAAACTAGAGTCTAAATGCATTAATTAAATATTTACACGTATACGTAATAATTATCCACTAAATCACTCCAATATTTCAAACAATGTTATACGCAATATACCACATACACGTTCACACCGCTCTTAAGCTAGTCAAGGTGACGGGCGCTCGCGCCACTGTTGGCACTACTAAGTAGCGGCCTACGCTCAGTCGACGCTCGGTCCACGCTCAGTCGACGCTCGGTCCACGCTCATCTATATTCGGTCGATACTGGATCCATGCTGGCCTTACACCCGATCGATGCTACGTCCTCAGTCGACGCTCGATCTCCGATGGTTGCTCAGTCAACGTGCGACCTACGCCGTCCAAGCTCAGCCGCAACTTTATCACAATCATGTACATCCGAAGAAATACACTCCGCGTACAATTACTATAATATCAATAAATCTGTAAGCGTATCAAATACCATAGCAGCATGACCGTCACGTTACGTTGTATGTTCATTGTCGGCGGTCGTGTTCAGTCTTGTCTGGTCGGGGTCTAGCCGAGTAAAACTATATATCTGTCGAGTCCAACTCACTAATAACAATTTCATACCTATATCTCATTAAAGTACGATAATTGTTTATTTACTTAGCCTAATATTTAATATATATCATGATTATTACTAACACTAAGCTAATAATGTTTATTCACTTAAACTATTCTTCTAAAATTATAATTACACTAACTGCATCAAAGTTCATCTTCTTCTGCAATCCGAGTTCACCCATGCATTATTCACTTCAACTCGAGTTCACCCATTGCGTAGTAACCCAACTGTATTCTCTTAACTTTTCTTTATCGTTTGCCAAGCTCGTTCAAATTCAATCCTGAAACCATTCTGGTGGTAACATTGGCACTACGCATGGGTTTCTCGATTCCTTCAGAATTCTTTCCAATTGTATGTATTCCATCTTTTTATACGTTCCCAGACCTAATACTCAGAATCTCCTCGTAAAAATTACACCAAGCTTCTCTCTCTTGAAATTACCTTTCTAGCCAATTAGATTCGTTTAAGATTTCTCCTAATATTTGACCACTAAGTCACCTTCTATTAATTTTGAAATAAAAAGCTAATGGATTTCGCGAGTAGAACCAGTAGTAAACTCTGGTTGGAATGAATATTTACGTACGGCAGTTTAGCCAGAGGTTGTATCCTCTGGTGTGAGTCTTGAATTTAAGTCTTGCATTGCGTTCATCGGATTTTCGATGATACCGACCGAGCTCATCTTGTTCGGCTTCCTCCTGAACAGGATGTCGGCGAGGCTGGCTGCGCGTCGCGGTCCCTGACCTTCTAGCAACGCTTCAATCTCGCCGCTGCTGCGGGATTCCGCCACTGCTGTCTTGACGTCCCTCAGCGAGTTGTTCTTCTGGTCGCGGTAGCGTAGCTCGGTGGAGTGCGTGCGGTGGTGTAGGTGTGACAGCATGCCTGGCAGAGTGGCAGCGTCAGCAAGCGAGCGTGGACGCTCCAGGCGTCGCAGAACGCGTGCACGGACCGCGCTTGCAACGCTCTCGCGAGACGAGGAAGCGCCGTTCGTGAGTCGTGGACTCACTGTGCCATTCTGGTTTTCTGTAATTACATCAATAAATAACCGTGGATATATCACATAATGTTAGCGCATGCTAAATTAAGTACCTTTGTTATCCTTATCCGACGGCAACAATTAACATGTACTATAAGCGATCAATCAGCTTCATTTCCATTTCAGATATTTTCATGATAGTTTGACTCATTGATATCTTTGCAAAAATGTCGTAAATAGCTGATTTTACGAGTATATAAAAGAAGAGGACTCACTATTAGGCATGGCTTGTTCATCAAGTTCTTAATATTAAAAACAGTCAAAAGTTACCTGTAGGAATCGAAGCCCTGGGCGATGGGCCGCCATCTTCGTCAGTGCAGCCTTCCGAGAGAGTTTCGAGTGGGCGATGTTCGGGTCGTGAACTACTGCCCTCTAGCTCAGTGCTGTTCTCCTCGCCATCCGCAGACGTCGACGGTGTGGGATTCTGGAATTTTCACCAATAACTTGTTAAGTAATGTTGATGATGTTAAATATCACAAAAGGGGCGATTATAGAAGTACAGTGAAAACAAAATCGGTGCATTAGATAACTGGAATTAAAATAGATTGTTTAAGGAGCTCGTTAATGCACGAGTAGTGGTAATTTCTCTTTTTGTGACAAATTTAGATCCGTGAGCTGTTGTGATATTGATGGTTAATTTTAAAGAATTTAATTTTATATGACAGTAATATTATCTATTCTTTAGGACGATGAATAAAACTAAAATGATATTTTTGTTACTGGAATGACATTCAATCTAACGACGTACCTGATGGTAAACGGTCAGAATTGCCATTCGGCTGGACCAAGTCACATATGTTATACATCTACATCCTGTAATTTCAATCACTCATCTCACCTTTCAACCGAAGCAATTAAATTCACGAACGATATATTTAGACTTACGTTGTAAATATCTCTGGCGCCTGGGTCAGAGGAATCGCCGACACCGTCCAGGAAGAAGGTGACCATGTTGCCCTTGCCCTTAACGTCCACAGTGCCCCGGCAGCGGAGCCGGTAGCCCCGCGCAGATAGGATGTCATACACCTCCTGTGTCACCTGTCACACGCCACATGCCACATGCCACTTATAGAACCTCTACTCTAAGAGATCTACGAATATCATTTCAATATTTATTTACCTACAATTGACATTTAACTGTTCTATAAATAATAGTGTGACATTAGTCTTTGATGGAATTTGGAAATTATCTTTTTAAAGCCAATATTCTTCCTGCCAGTTTTACATGTGAAAGAGTACAAGAGTTTTCTCTTTAACCTGTACAGAAGTAACATTATTCCATATTAAAAGTGGCTCTTATTAACCAGTGTAGAAGTAAAATAGTTCATTTTACTAACAGTGGTTATTAAGAGACACTTGTTTGTTAAATAATATAGTTTAAATTCCACCAAATACCTGTAGCCACAATCATCAATTCTTGAGACAGTAGGCACAGCCAAAATGTTTCATATAAATACCTATTCAGGAAATTAAGATACTGAATAGTACAAGTGTTCTGACTAATGACGCGTTATCCACAGGTATAGACAGAAACTCGCGTGAGCATAATAATTATTTAATTACTCGAAATCCTAAATTAAATGTGGTACCACAATCGCGAAGCGATACTTAGTTGTGCAGTACGGAAAGTCCAATATATGATGATTAAAATATGTAAATTTTCATTACAATTGCATTATAAAGTCATTAATGATTATGATTAACTGTAATTGTCTCAATCTTCAATGATAAAAATATGAATATGAAAAAGACAGATTACATCCTTATAACTACATCATACACGAAATAAAATCCTTTAAATCTTGATAGTGGTTTGATCATCAAAATTATTGATTTATCAAATCACTTTCAAGGAAATAAATTTAAAAATTAAATTAAACAAAATCTTTAAAATAGGTTGGAAAGTCTTAACACAAATTACTTAATGATAAAGAAAATATTCAGTCTCCTCTCTAGAATTATCTATTGGAAACGTCCAGAGAGGTGATCACTTTAATTACCATTATGTTGTTCATATTGAGACCTAACAAATTATATGTTGATCTAAACGCTAAAGTTTAAATATATACCTGGATATGATCTAGGAGACCCGTGGAGTCCATACGCGAGGCGACGTTGACGGCATTGCCCCAGATGTCATACTGTGGCTTGCGGGCACCGATCACGCCGGCCACCACCGGTCCGATGTTGATGCCTGTTCACAATAGTTTCTTCATACCTAACCATTCTATACTCATTTTATCTACGTTATATTTAATTATTGGGAAAACAGTCGCTATGAACAACGGTCGCCTGGCAGAGCGTCGAGCTCAGTACGCACTGTCCTACGCAAGACTTGATGGTGGTTGATAGTGGGATGAATACTTACCGATGCGGATGCGAAAGCTGTTGAATGAGTGCTCGTTGACGTACTGCAGCTGCTCGCGTAATCGGAGGGCGTAATCCGCCATTGCGGTCACGTGGCGGTAACCACGGAGGTCACGGGTGGCTGCTGTGAGGCCTGATCACATAAGTAACAACAGACAAAGTAAGAAACAATTTATATATGGGATCAACATATCATTGAAGTTAGTTAGTCAAAACTAACCGGAGGCAGCCATGTAAGTGGCGCCGGTGCTCTTGATCTTCTCGATGTACTTGAACTGATCCTCCGCGAGTATCTCATCGAAGTCTGCGATGATTTCGTTTAGCAGCCTCAGGCATTCAACACCCTCGTTGTTTCCCTCCAACTCCACGTAGAACTCCGAGAAGTTAGGGATGGATGCGAACAACACGCACACTGACTCGCACTGCTCGTGGTATAGCTCCTGTACAGTTGTAGAGTACTATTATAATATACAATTACCAAGCTTCAGAAAATATAACGGAACGTCAACAGTAATAAAAGTGGTTGAAGTTAGAAAAATGTAACCAGTTAACGATGACGGTTTATAAGAAGAACAAATCACCATATCATATAAAATAGGCTACCCTACTATTAAAATCATCAACAAATTAAGACACCATAAACAAATTAATGTACAGTAATTATAACAATATAAGTATGGAGACGACATACGTCAATATTCTTGTCGCTGCCTAGGAAGTGTTGGGCGACATGTTCGGGCAGAATATTAGCCAGCAGCTTGCGGTTGTACGCCTCCAAGTGTTCCATCTCTTCCTTCTCGTCTAGAAAAATATATTACGGTTTATCAAGAAATAAAAAAATAATAGTTTAAATTTGCCTTTTAATGATATAGCATTAAGAGTAATTGTTGTGCATCACGGCTCAGTTTTTTGATTGACTGATGTGACTTTTTGATTTTTATTTGTGGTGTAAATAAACTATATTCTCTATATGATTAGTAGGTACTAAAGCATTAACAGTGTGACTATAAAATATACAAAAAATACTAAAAATATAAATTGAACGCAGGCCATAGTACATTTGTTAAAGTAAAATAATAGCCTTTCATTATATTTCTGTTTCCTTACATTACGTCATTATTCGATATTAAATCTTGGATATAAAATACATATATCAATAAATTAAATGATTCAACGTAGGTATATTTAATTAAATCTACAAGACTTACTGTTGGCCTGCAGTTTCCAGATGAAGTCGAGACGGTAGGTGCTCTCCGTTTGTTGCGAATGCAAAATCAATGCAATAGTAGCGCCCAGGACGATCACGATGTTCATCCACTGTTGGTTCCAGTCCAGTCCGCATTTGTATCTGTAAACAATATTAAAATTCACACATACATCGTGAGACAGTCGAACTCATTACCTATGCGTGAGTATGAGTGTCTCGCTAAGTGTGTTCCATTTTGAAGCTAAAATTTGTACAAGTTTTATTAGTTGTAAAAAGGAATTCCAATTCCACCTACAAATATATGAAGGACAATGATAATGAAGTTGTACAAAAAGTGTTGGAAAAATACAGCAACTTTGTGGGCAAACAACGCCAAATATTCAAACCATTTGTCTATTGTTGGAGAATAAACAATATGAACTTGACTTTTTTGTTCCAAACGGAAGATTCGATTAAACTTGAATACTTAGAAGTGTTTACTTACTGGAAGTCCACGAAATAGTTGTTATTATAGAGGTGTTCATATGTGGTGATGGCGACATAGGTGGCAGAGATGACTAGCAATAGGAATGTCTTCACCATGGTGATGAGGATCTGGTGGACCGCACACAGGAACATCACGGTTAACGTCAGTTGCAGGTAGTGCTGTGGGCAATATAGTAATATGTTAACACCCTGTATAGTCTTGAGAAGAATAGCTCTATTATAACCTATCTGCTAAGAAGGTTGGGTAATACCACTGAATTTACTGGTGTCATTTGTCAGTGTAAATTCAGCCAGAAAAACCATTTGATCTTCAGAAATGACAGCATAGAGTATTTGGGCACCCCCTACATTTACAATATTTGAACCCTTTATAGAAGATAAAAATATCGTCAATTGGTAGGAACAGCAGCTTGCAATATACTGATATTGCAAGCTGGTCTATTAGGTTCCTTTCTAATAATGAAAAAAAAATACCACTTGTGCTATTATTACGGTCGTGTATTATAAATATTTTTATTGCACACACACACACACAAATTCAAAGTTCATATGTCAAACCCGTGAGTTTGCGTAGTTTTAGTTTTGACTGACATTGGTGGAATATTGTTATTGTAGTATTATAATATTTTTAATGAAAATAAATACGACATAATTTTAAATTTAATTAATTATGATTTCATTTTCAAATATTTGTATACGAAATGCTGCTTGTCACGTACATTATTTAGTAAGACACCATTATTTAGTAAGAGACCAAAACATCGTGGCAATAAGTAATACAGTTCTATAATTCAATCTCTTAAAACTATATATACATATATAGCTGCTATTAAAATTATGGTCATTATGAGGAATGTAGTCCGATGAAAATGTCTTTTGCAGATATAGCATACCTCGTTGGCGTCGTATGGGCATTGTGTGTTGTCATCTTTGCCCTGCACTGGTTGCTTGAGAACGATCTCCTTGTCTAAGCTCTGAACCTATGATAATAAAAAAAACAATTATAACTTGCTAATAATCTGCACACATTTTCAATATTGTCGTTCCCGTAAAATTAATATAATAATCGTTTTTAATAGATTATAGTGATAGAAGATAGTTTCTGTAAAATATTACATGTATAAGTTACCAACCATAATAACTTGAATTTGTATGACGATAGCGGAGACCACCAAGAACGACAATGTCTGCGCAAGAGTGCGGTTGTTATGCACCCGCTCAGAGAACCGACGCAGGCAGGGGAGCGTGTGCTGAAACCAAACAAATTATTAATAAACATACAATGCACGACCAAACTTAGTTCGTTTTAAGTAACGCACTTTGGGCGGTCCAAGGTTATATAATATTATTTTGAATTGATTTTTTTTAATCGTTCTCCATGCGTTGCCAAGGTCACTTTTTACCACCTGCATGTTACATATATTTTGAAAAAATAATGGGCATTAGAAAATAATGGATCAGATAAAGCCACCGCGTCCTCTCTAATTGATACGGATGAACGGGCGCCCGTCAATTAAGTAATACACATTTGCTAAAATACAAAAGTATGTTACTTAATTATTGGTATATCGGTATAAATACTCCTTAATTAAATTTGTAAAAGCCAAGATAAGGTAGAAGTAACGGCAGAAGCCTGCTAAATCGAAATAATTATTAACGTCTCCCGAATGCAGTACATGATAAAATTCCTGTACCAAATAAACATAATAATAAGATCTGATATAAAGACCCATGTTCTACCACACCGTTAATGTGTAGTTATGGTGTTGGTATATGGCTGTCCTGCAACTTAATATTGCCTTTCGTTTTACACTTTGTATCCGGTACAGTCAGAAGAACGGTTAGGTGGTGCATACAGGGTTCAAGATAAGAATTTCATACGTGGAGTTCACATCACTGCTACAAAAAGGCTTTCATCGTACAAAAATATGACATCAGATCAATACTGCTGGACCTTATGAATTCTTCCATTAATTAATATAATAGTAAAAAAGTACCTTGAAACTAATACAGATGATGATGTAAGTGGCTGAGATTAGGATCAGGGCACACGCTGCAATCGAGACATATCCCAGGACAGTACTGTAAACAAAAAGACGAACATTGATAAATGGAAATATGCAAATGCAGTCGGCACATAAAGGGGACATGGTCAAGCATAAATTCGGCAAATACACGGTGTCCATAAAATAGATAGACAGAAACCAAGATGAGATATTTACAAAGTAGTTCTATGCTTAGTGTAATGATGATGCCGAAGAATACAATAATAATAAACGGGGACATTTCACACAGCACTATAGTTCTAAAATAAGCAGATATTATACACTTACTGATAGAAATACTTAAACTCCATTTTGGTGAAATATTTGGTAATGTGAACGAATTAAATTCATTGCTGCTGTCCGCATCGACTACGCGTGTATAGCGTGTAGATATTGGACACGGTCGCCTGTGGCGTGAGGGAAATGATGACTAAAGAAATATGTCGCCGTCTGTTGCAAGCGCTGGGATCAGTTTTATTAATATACTAGCTGTGCCCGCGGTTTCACCCGCTTTAAATTTCAATAAAAATATAGCCTATGTGTTATTCTGATGCATAAGCTATATTATTGTAAAGTTTCATCAAAATCCGTTCAATAGATTTTGCATGAAAGAGTAAACATCCATACTCACAAACTTTCGCGTTTATAATATTATTATTATGAGTAGATACGCATATAACCAGATATATCTTATGAATGCAACCTATAAACAAATAATGTGTATACTCAATATAGAAATAGTTAAGTAATTAGTTTATATATCTAAATCTACTATTTACATATTTGTTATATATGTACTTTCATTTATATTTTTAGTAGTCTCTTTTTAGGTCTTGTTTACAGTCGGCTACATGTATGTACATTACATAAATCACACAAAAAACAAACAGACTATTAAAATAATTGCTTGTATTGGTCTGGGTATTTTCTGAATATAAATCTCGTTTTCTGAATATAAAAAGTAAGGCGGTGTCTCTAAAATGCTGGACTACATAAATAGACAAGATATAGAGAAATAAAAGTCTCTTACATATCGAAGGCCAGTAGTTGAACGATGAGCACGGCGAAGTAAACCAGGACGGAGCAGATGAAGTACACCTTCAGCATGCGGTCGCGCTCAGACGTGTACTGCGGAGCACCGTTAACACGTACCATATTAATTTAATCAGGTTTATATAAACGGATAAGATTCATGCACTTCCTTATTGGCCCCGACAACCCCATAATGGCCGTTAATCTTCGTACGGGTCCATCCGTTCTATCTCTACCAAGTTTTACACACACACGACACAGTCCTCGCCGGCGAAGACGATGACCTCAACCATACCGTACCGCGTAATCAATCACTGCCACACCGGCGACCCCGCTCGCCCCTAGCAGGGACCTCAGACTAAATTAGTATCCGTCAGGCGGGAGTTTGCCTGTCCTTAGTCTGTATGAGTCCGTTCGTGGGTTTGAAGTGTCACCTGCAATTGCCCCCTATCGACCGGTGAGCTGGCCTTTACAGCTAAAGGCCAGCTGCAGTCAACCGCATTAGAATAATTCGAAAAAAATGCACTTTGTGTATTGCATGTTGGGTTGTGAAAAAAACTATTTGTATTTGTACTATACTATTACAGTTTTTCTAGTTATTACTAGCTCTTACCCAGGATTTCTTTGCACATACTTTCATCTTCTACTTCACCCTATCTTAGATTATTTTTTAAGTTAAAAGATGACCTAACTCTATATTTTATTAAGATCTGTTCCGCCGTTCAGTCGTTAAAAGATACAGTCTTCAGATGGACAGATACACTATCGCATAATATGCATAGATATAATATAGTGTAATGATCCAGACAGAAAGAGATTTTATTTTATACTTGAAGCAGAACCTACGCTCATATAGTATAGTAAAGAGATGAGTTTACCTTTAAAAATGTAAGTATACCATATCTAATAAAAAGGATTTCACTCTGGTAAAGTCACAGTATTATTTAGTAGTTTGTAGTGGTCATATAATATAGGTAAGTAAACTCTGCTGGTCAGACAACATGATTGTTAGTTTATATCAATTGTAAGGATAGCTCGAGATCAATTAAGGGTCTGTCTCAATAATAGCAACGAGCTCACTTGACAAATTAAGTCCATTGGTTCCATTACATTTGAATGATGTTTTGTTTAGATTATTATTGGCTAATATTTAACTGTTGTACATGGTGATATAGCTTTAAATACATATATGGTTAAAGAGTTGCTATTCATTAATTTAATGGTATTACATTAAGTATTGTCAACAACTTCAAGATATAATCAATAGTGATTTGATCACGACATAGATGGTAAATATATCAGTCATCGTCTGTCACGTATCCATGATTATAAGAGAGTATGACAAAATATATACTCAAGTCACAGTATGATTTCGTGATAGTCTTGAATTACTTAGTAGTTCAGACGATTCCTTTTAGATTGATTGATAAGTAAAGTTATAAGTTGATCCTTGTGACATTTTCTTATAGCAGGCTCGGATGTTAGATCAATGGAAAAATATGGCCCTATATGCTATGCATCATGACTTAACTTATATAGAAAACGATATATCAAATTCAATGGACATAGTTAAAGATTTTGGTCAAGGTTTTTGTTCCAAAACAAATCAAATTTAGTATTCATAAAAATTTTAGATGTTGGAACCTAATGTAAATAAGTAAACAATCTCGATAAAATAATCTGATCGTAAGCGGTGAATTAATGGCGTAACAAAGACTAAACCGGTATTATAAGAGAAAACATTTGTATTTTTGACTGTAATAATATTAAAAAAAAAAACACAATTTTAAAACCTGTTAAACAGTATAATATATTTAGACTCTGCATTTGCAGATTTGGAATACTTTGAAAAAGTATATAAAGAATCGTTAATTTAACCACGATTGCGCTGCGAAAGTAACTAGATTTAATTGAACACTCCTCTTAACGATTCTGAGAGTTAATATTAAACTGAATAAAGCGATATTGTTAAATTATTACCAAGATGGCAAGCAATACCCTTATCCAATGAATAGGTAGTTTTAATTACATCGTAGAGGAGGAATGTCGCTTGTCGTCGAATTAATTTAGAATGGACACTGAACGTCTGGAAATGAAACCAAATGTATTTATTGCTGGGAACTTGGAACTATTACATTATTTTGTAGATTAAAGGAACAAACATATATGAGCATAGGAAACTATGCTGTTTAATTATAGCAAGAAGTTATTCATACTATCATATAATATTACTCATAATTAATTTACATTATTTGTCATTAACGGTAATAAAATAATAATAAATGTAAAAATATAAGAAGTGTAAAAATATTTGAACGATATATATTTATACAAATAAATTACGAGCTTATTTGTAGAATACACAAAATGTTACGTAAGTAGCAAATGATTACGTGAAATGTCACAATACATATTTTTAACTGAACGCTGTCGTGTATTACATTGCAGGAAAACGATCGGAAAAGGTAAAAAGGTTACGACAAGCGGAGGGTCGCCAATTTAGTAAAATGTTCCGTGCTGACTGAACGATTTATAAGAATTAAGACAAAGAAAGATAGCTCCATTTTTTTAACAAGATCCTCTGATTGGAATTTGCATTTATTATCTGCCAAAAGGCGGCGCGCAGTAAGAAGTGTTATCACAAAGTCATTATAATAAGTAATTGATTACACGCTATAATCTACATAAACCACACTCAACTTCTTTCTTTTTCATCTTTGTTTTTATAGAATAAAACAGCCATTTATTATTTATAGCCATCTTCATTGTATACGGTTATTTTTTTACTCTATATTTTTTGTGAATAATATTTCTATAAATAGTAAACGTAAACATTTATGAATACATCATTCTGTAATCATAAGTATTTAATATAATGAATACTTTTATTTTATTACTTCTACATTAAAATGGGAAACATTATTTGAGTATTATAATGAATATTATTCAACGTGCTCTGCAATATTCTTTCAGGTAACATGTGTTATATATATTTATATATATTCCATCAAGTACATTGCATATTCTTTGGAGTACACTTCCTTAGACATAAAATTACCCATAGTCTTGTATACTCAGGCTTAATGTAGACTGACTTGTTTGTACTTAGATATTTGTCAGCGTGGCGAGCTCACATCGGCATCAGGTAAATCTCACCTTAATCCATTCGTAGCCTGGCTTACGGTTCAAATACGACTTACACGTGTAAACGCAGTATCCTTTGATTTGAAATGTGATTAACTACTTGCGCGTTGAACCAGTTACTTTAAATGACTTATTAGTCCAACTCAAATATTTATTTCAGATATATAGGCTCTAACAAATTAAATTATTGCAATCATAAATTATAGTCGTACTATGTATAACTTCATATTTAATAAAAAAAAAAATATGCTGCTAGATGGACTGGATGCTTTGCACAAACATAGTGAAATTTTAAATTTCTTTGTCAATTTTCTTCTTTGTATATTATTGACACAACATTGTGAAAGTAGCTGTTGATTCAATAATAACAAATAAATGAGCAATGATCAATTGCACTTCACGTCCAATTTATTTCAATAAAGCCCACATCTGTTTAATAAAGCTATTTAGAACTCGATCAGAGTATGGTTACGATGTGAAATGTATTAGATATGTTCGAATCAGACTTTTCCCGAGCTATGTTACGACGATGGCGAGTTGATAACTGGGAATATTCTCGATTTTGTAATAAATATTCTATGCAACATAGCTTGGTAGGAACACTGTTGGGTAGATTGAAAACTTCTTCAATAATACAGTTACTTATCTCAATTAATATTAACTCATATTGAGCGGATTTAAGAAAGGGTATATACGCGATTGCGCCTTGTTGAGTCATTTTTTTTATTACCGGGCGCCAGGAATAATATCTAGTTAGTCAAAATAGAATATATTATATTAGAACTAAGTTTAATTATTTAACCGAATGTTTGTTATCATTATCGCTTTGATTTCCTTGTTTAGTATTTTTTACTTGTTTAGGATTTATTACTAATATAGGAGTATAAGGAAAATTAGTAATATGTTTATTTATTATCTAAAAATATTAACTTCTTTCAAATGAAAAAATAGAATAACGGAAGACTTCTCGAATGTATTTTTACATATTTACAATATGAGTAAAAATATGTATTTCTTTTGTGGTGAGGAGTTTATTGACTTGTCAGTTAGTTCTAATAAATGTACGGACTCGACTGCCACATATTATCAATGATCACTTACCTTCTTCTCGAGGACTTCATCCCTGAAGGTGAGTGTGAAGGGGCGGCAGTGTTCGGAGCGCAGGCGGTCAATGGAGCGCGCGTCGATTGCCTTCATCAGATAGTCGTTTACCTCATCCTCTGGTTTCTTGTTCTCGTTGGTAGCATCGATTCTGAATACAGTCATAATAATGTTAAAAATTATATACTATGTATACATTTACAGAACATGTAATACGTTAAGAATATTATGATTACCAAATGTGTTGCGATTGTTATATAAATATATAAGTCAGACAAGTATTATCATTTTCTATATGATTACTTCTTTATTAATCTTAGTATATATATATTAGTTAGTAATATTTTTATGTTATCGTCTAAAAAATAGTTCATACGTAACAAATAAAGAATTAAGTAAATTTGTTCAATATAATATTTTGATAAAATGTACATGTTTCATTGTATATTCATTATTATATTTATTTTTAGTGAATATTGAATTTAAATAGGTACAATAATTTAAAAAAATCCACCTTATTATTCTTATTTATTATTACCATAATATTCTTTTATAACAACTTTCTCTTGACCATAACAATTACAAAAAAAAGTAGCGAAATTGGTCGAGGCGATCATGCATGACGAAATATAAAATATAAATCATCATGAGAGATAAACAATAAATTAATATTTATATATGTAAATTATTAATGTATAATTTGATGTATCTTTATAATATTTCATTAACATTAACCTACGAGTGAAATTAAAAGTAGATAACGACGATAATTAAGAAAAGACACGCCAGAACCTTCGTCTGTACTGATTACTTAAATCTTGTTAGCTGAAACAATTTCAATTAAAAAAGTTTATTTTTCTTTGTAAGTTGAGCTCGTAGAGATGTATAGGTGGGTACTTGTACATCCGTCATGTCTGTAATTATGTCGCCCTCTGATAATATGCTATAGAATGGTAACGTGGGGATTTTATTGTCTCAATTTTTTTTAATTGAAACCTACTCGTCCTTCTATATGTATATATATACTAGCTGTCCCGGCAAATGTTGTTATGCCTTAAAATAAAAAAAAAAATTAGGGGTGGACTACCCCTAACATTTAAGGGATGAAAAATAGATGTTGGCCGATTCTCAGACCTACTCAATATGCTCACAAAATTTCATGAGAATCGGTCAAGCCGTTTCGGAGGAATATGGGAACGAAAACTGTGACACGAGAATTTTATATATAAGATAAACCTTCCTCTAGAATAACTCTATCTATTAAAAAAACCGCTTCAAAATCCGTTGCGTAGTTTTAAAGATGTAAGCATAGATAGGGACAGACAGCGACAGCGACTTTGTTCTATACTATTTAATGATGATAGAATAGAAATCATTTACTCAAATAAACTTATATTGAAGCACTTTTGAATAGTCATCACATTTTTTTTAATATACCGCTCATTTGGAAAGCTGTGTCATCCACAAGAAGAATGTGCAAGAAACTTGGGTGTTGCTCTTTTAAATAATTTTAAGTTGAAATGTGTGTATACAACACTAACAAACTAGCACTAGTTCAACAATGCTAATAAACTCAAAAAAGAATTATCATAATTATATTTCATATATCTACGTGAATAATATAATAATAAAATAAATAAATTATTTAATGCTGTTCGAGTCTGATTAACTAACATATTTTACAACGATATAAAAGTTACGATACAAATATTTAGTTGTTAAATCGATCACAAGGAGTTACTTATATATACATAACATTTTTTATTTACTACATTTGATATTTGTTAGTTTTACAATATCTTTTATATAATAACAGAGAAACAATTTAGATTCTAATTTGATAATTATTTTCTACAAGATTATGTTTAACAGCACATTAAGTTTGCAACAATAATAATGTTCATCCAAGAACCGAGTGACGTGTGAAGTTCAAAAGTTAAGGATACGGTACCCTCCCCCTCGTCTGCATTGAGCGTGTTGGAGGAAATTGTTGCGATCCATAATTAGAATTATACTGCTGTTTTTGTTCAGTTTCATCTACATGCTTAATAGAACCATCAGAGTAAGGCTGAATACACTAGACATTATATTTAATACTGTATATACCTATAAGCATTGAATTTGGCAAATAAATGATTTGATTTGCTTTGAGAAATACATGTAAGTCTCGTTGCAGCGTAGATAGTAATGTTTCAAAGACGTTTTGCGGCTCTATGCATTTTGAACATTTCCAAATTGGACGTTTACGGCTCCATACAAGTGTTCTATTATACGTCGATATCTATACAATTGGATTTTGCTCATTACTTTAGTTCTTTATACAACTTTATTTCAGTTCTTCGAGTGATCTCGTGTGAATTATATTGTCTATTCTATGGTAGAAATAGGACGGAATAAAGTTGACTGACATTTTAAAATTGCTTTGATGTTTTTTTTTGGTACAGTGTTAGAGTTGTTTTCATGAATAATGTTCATAAAAAGGAATCAAAAACTTACAAAAGAAAAATATTACAATTATTACGATTTATAATAGCCGATATTAAGGGACTCTAAATTGACATAGTGACATCAATATAATTATTCAATTGTGCGAGTAAATTATTTGTAAATTAGATACAATTATTGACATATGTGAGGTTAATATTATAATTATAACAATTAGATACTTCGTTATTTTAATGGAGCATGAAATTCTGTGAATATATTGGTAATATACTGACATTACATAAAATTATTTACGAGTGTATCAACATTATCAGTTGTTATACTCGTATATCACTCGCTGTGATTTTAGAGTTAGTAATTAATTAAAGTGTATATAATTTATGTACTCTTATATATACTTTAAATGACATTAATTGACTTTATAAATATCTCTTAGGAATTCTCATGCACTGATATGAAATCAGAAATCATGGTAGCACGAGGAATTTAGTTAAAAAGTGTCGTGTGAAATATATAGATGGTACGTATGAGACTGTGTATGTTTACTTACTTGGTGGAGTGTTTGCCGTGCTGGGAGCCGTGGCCCATCACTCGCATTTCCTTCGACACATTCCCATTCAATGCGAAATTGTGCTGTGGCTTCTTATCCTGTATTAAAAAAAATCGACATGTTATAGTTTCTATGTAGTCTAAATTTTAGATATAAATTACACTAATTAATTTTCACGACTATTATACTAGATGGGGTAGAATGGATGGCAGATGTCGATGTTTCGGCATTTTATATATTTAATTCAACGTGCCTATGTGTGATCTTACTGTTGTCACGTTCTTATTGGATAATTTCAATTACTATCAATACGTCCAATAACGGAGGACATTTTTCATTTATGCATGTAAATTTTTTAACATTATTTCTACCATCCAGTTTGCCTAATATCACCGGAACCATTCATAAATGTAAATTGATTAATGTCCTTTTTGTATCGACCATATTGGAACTCACGATCTTTGTGACGATAGCTAAATTGGGATAGTTAATAACTAGACTACAATACCTGCGAGGTATCGTAGTCTAGTAAATGATGGATAATGCACCCATTCGGGTGTATTATCGTATCGTATATCAATGAGGGGACCGACGATCTGGTCAAGGTCGCTGGAAGGCAATGGATGCGAGCAGCGCAGGACCGATCGTCGTGGAGATCTTTGGGGGAGGCCTATGTCCAGCAGTGGACGTCTTCCGGGCTGGATGATGATGATGATATCAATGAGTGGGTGCTGAAAATCAATTACATGAAGTATCGAAGTAACTTGAATAAATCACGCCAGTGTTAAATTATAAACTTAATAGTGGCGCAGTGGGAACTGACACTTGTGTTCCCTTTAATATGGTGCAACGATGACTGGCACATCCGTCACACTCGTGAACGGGTGCTGTCTGGGGGACGTTTCTTTTTCATTTATATTAATATGACAATGACATATGAGGTTTATTGTCCTTACTTATTGTTAAAGTAAAATATTGTAGTGGTAATAAAAATAACAGTGTTTATTTCCAAATAATTGCCTATTGTACATTATTAAGGAGTTTCTAATACTAGTTATAAAATATATTTAATATGTTTTTTTAAGGAAGTAACAGCAGAATTTCATTTTAGTGCTTATCGTCTTTAATATACTCAGATATAACAAAATTTATAGTAGATAGAATGAAAACCTAGACTTAATGAGAATTTAAGAAACATCTTGTGTTAATTTTCTGATATCGCAATTTAGAATCCGCGCGCGACATACCAGGGGCCTGATAGGATGGATGATGACGTATAAATGGGGATGATACTACGATAATATTTGAATAAAATCATAGTTCCTTAAGAAATAATAAGGGTTACTATTTCATTTTTAACAATGGATTATACGATGATAATGCAATAAAATATTTCTAAATAAATTTGTAATCTCACCACTCGGCTGGTGTCATCCGGCACTATGAGGTAAGTCTCGATGTTGTGATCCTTCAGGTAAGCGTTTCGCTGCCCTCCCATGCCGGGTTCCACCTTGTAATCGTCGCCGAGGCATTGAAGAGTTTCCTTAGTGATGTGCACGCGTCTGTATTTTAAGTATTATTATGTACAACCCTAGATATCATGGAAGACAAGTCCCGTCCAATCTTGCCATTTCGAAGAACTATCTCAATTTATAATTTCACTTCTATATCTCACTGTATGAACTGAACACAGATTACCAAGCAAGCTGTTTGAAGGCAATTTATTTTTATATTATGATGGTGGCAAACAATCGTACGGCCCATCTGATGGTAAACGGTTACCGTAGCCAATGGACGCCTGAGACAGCAGATGCGTCACGTGCGCGTTGCCGACCCTTAAGAAACCTTAATATACCCTTCTTTAAAAACCCCACTCTTTAGTATCGTGAGAAATCTAGGCAGATAATTTATTCCACAATTTAAGTGTAAGTTAGAAAGAAAATTAGGTTAGATAGAGGCACGTGATCAGAATTTTGTACAGATCTCTATCAATCTACAATTTCCATTATTTCAGTTTTCATAACGCCATCAACAAACAAGGAGTTAAAAGAATTCATAGATTTTATTCTTACCCAGCAACGCCTCCACTCTCCATGTAATTGGCGAGGGTGACGTCATTGGACCAGACATCGAACTGCCACTTGCGCAGCCCCAGCACGACGCAGTGCACGCGGCCGGTGTGGATGCCCACGCGCATGTTCACGTTTACGGCCATCACCTCACGGACAAGGCTGTATCACAATGCACACCAATAGAGTTGATGATGATTTTTCAAAAAGAATCAACTATAGTACAGAGACTACGTATATATATTGCAAGTCACCTGGAACAATTTAAGCTAGAAAAAAAGATAGTGGAATTGAGAACATCCTGTTAACTGTTGTAGTCGGTGTAATAATCTTTAAATTGTAACGTAGTTCAAGAACTTGTTCATATTGTTCAAGTTGTTGAACTGATTCAGCGGGCACAGTTAATGTATCATAATAGTTGAGCTGTTTCCCCGGTTTCACACGCATGATATATGTTCTAAAGTACACAAGTTTATAAGTTATATTATTGTAAAGTGTCCTTAAATTCCATACAGCAGTGTTTACATGAAAGACGAACAAACATTCATCCATACTTATAAAGTTCCACGTTCATAATGTCATATTAGTAAGATAGTTTGATTATAATTTACAAGCAGAGAGGTTGCAATTTGGGGGTGGGTAATTAGGTTATGGGCCCACGCAGAAGAGTGTCAGTTTACGTTAACTACAAGTTTAGTATGTACTTTTTAAAACTAATTATCGTACTAAAAATATACGAGATAGACTTCAAATATATAGTGTGAAATAGATCTATATAACGTGTATCGATAGACCAAAAAATAAATAAATACAAAGTCACTACAATAATCTAAAATATAATATCGGGATGTACCTTCTTATATATCTGATGATACCATTATTATCTTAAATTCAACATTATTTATTAATATAGGACCTTTCGGCCTCTCGTCCGTATCCTATTTTTTTTCACTATATCTACCGTCGTACTGTAATGATGAAACTATGATATTTATAACATTTTTACACTAATTATGTTGACTGCTGCTTCAGCGGTTGAAACTGGCTACAAGTACAGGTATCATTACAAACGTGTAAAAAAATTTATGAAGGCCAACTCTTGCCTGACAGATACATCTACAATCTGACGTCTCTGCTAGGTGATCGAACCTCGCATTGTGATCTCCGTGACTCGTGAAACGTGAACGGGACTCGTGAAATAGATAAATGGTACTCACGCAATAGCGTCAATCATATCGAGGCCCATCTCAACGCAGCATTTGGCATGGTCGTCGCGCGCCTCCGGCAGTCCCGACACGCAGTAGTAGCAGTCGCCGAGTAACTTGATGCGCAGGCAGTGGTGTTCAGCAGCGAGACGGTCGAATCTGAATCAAATAGAGTTGTGATCATTCTTGTTGTTACAGAATGGACCGCCTATAGCGGGCTATATTACCTTTTTTTTTAATAATTCACACAGCACCGTATATACCCAAATTAAGCTAGCTAAAGCTTGTATTATGGGTAGTAGATAACTGATACAAATATTATACATTATATTAAACATAGGAAACACCCAGACCGATACCAATAATATATTCATGTATAAAAATGTTTGCGCCGTGCAAGAATCGTACCCGCGACCATAGGACCATAAGAACGCGTAAGGCGGTATGCTAAACCACTAGAACACCGAGGACGTAAATTTTTTTGGCATTTATAATTGTAGTTCAGGTTAAATTACCCTAGAATACCCTTTCCTGTCCAAAGTTCTTGAACGACTTGTTCATGACCAACTGAACAACTTCCTTTCCAAAAATCATCTCTTAAACCCTTTCCAATCTGGCTTCCGAGCTGGTCATAGTACGAATACCGCACTGCTTAAAATCACCGATGATATTCGATATGGAATGGAAAATTCGCAACTGACTGTTCTTACATTGCTGGATTTCAGTAATGCGTTTAACACCGTCGATATCGATATCCTATTGGCATGTATGCGTTCAATTAACATATCTCCAATGGTAACAGACTGGTTTCAAAGTTACCTGTATGGACGACGGCAGAGTATACGAGTTGACAACAGCTTCTCTTCATGGTGTCAAATTACTGACGGCGTTCCTCAGGGTGGCGTCTTATCTCCGCTTCTTTTTGCGCTTTTTATTAATTCTATTACTATGCAGCTTCATTCCTCCTACCACCTTTATGCAGACGACCTCCAAATCTATTCGCAAGCCCCATTACATAACATTGACACTGCCATCCTTACAATTACTGCAGATCTAGATCTCATATCTAGTTGGTGTAAAAACTTTGGACTAACATTGAATGCCTCAAAAACTGGTAGCCCTCGGTATATACCAAAAATCAATTGGAGCACTCTTCCTCGAATAGTGTTGGACGGAGTACGCATTGAGTACAGTGATAGCGTTAAGAACATGGGCATCCACTTCGACAGGACGCTCAGACAGGCTTGGACAGTTCAGATCGCCGAAGTGAGTCGCAAGATTTTCGCTGCCGCAGGCTCACTCAGGAGACTAGGCAATTTCTTGCCAGTCGATACCAAAGTTTCGTTTGCACATACACTACTTCTTCCTATCCTTGATTACGCCGACATCTGCTACCTAGACCTCACCGAAGACCAATTAAACAAACTTGAGCGTCTTAAAAATATTTGTATCAGGTTTATATTTGGACTTCGCAAATATGACCATGTCTCACATTATCGTGCACAGCTTAAGTGGCTTCCTATAAGCCTTCGCCGTGACTAGCATATTCTTTCTCTTCTTTACGCCGTTCGCTTTAATCCTGCTACTCCTGACTACCTCAAAGATAGATTCTGATTTCTCGGTGAGGCGCAAAATCATGGCTTACGCAGCGCAACAACCCTCCGTCTTAAAATCCCTTCCCACATATTCTCATTCTACACCAAATCCATTTATACATGCCGTTCGACTATGGAACTCATTACCTTCCTCCATACGTAGCTCACGATCACTACCCAGCTTTAAGAACTCGGTCAAATCACATTATCTTTCCTTATAATGTTTCTTTTCTGTCGTCATCATTGTTATATTACTAGTAGGTATTATTCCTATACGTGTATCACAGTTACTTGCTGCTTGTATTATTTTGTGTTGTGTTGTATCTATTTATGGCATGTTGTTATGTATGTATGTATGTATGTATATATATATATATATATATATAATATTAATATTGGTGTATACTGTTTATATATGTAATATGTTATGTTTGTCATTATTATTATTATGTTTTTTTTTCTCTTCTATTCTAGTGCCACCTTTTGTTTTTTCTCCTCTACCCAAAGGTTGCCTGGAAGAGATTGCATAAGCGATAAGGCCGCCTTTTGTACCCTTTTATTTTAATTACTCTATTAATGTAATTTTCCTGATGCAATATGAGTATATAAATAAATAAATAAATAAATAAATAGAACACTCATTCACCATCTCAGTCATAGCGACGAGGACCAAGTACGGGACACATTTTTTGATAAAAGTTTAAAATCAGATATAGTAATATTTGTCTTTCATTTAGAAGTAATATATGTAATGAATTTATATTCTATGATGATGCAGACTATTGTGATTCTAAGCTCCTAAACAAATAAAAAAAAAATAGTATGATGCATAGACAACTGAAAACCATATATTTTTTGTAAGTACACAAGTATAAAAAAACAGAGATTCAATACAATTATATATTATCGTCAAAAACGTTTTTATCTGTAATGTATCGAATCTGTGGCTATGAAATATAGCAATAACCTGTTCATATGAAGTATGATACTATATGTTATCATCAGGATGTAGTAAAACTAGGCGATAGACAGCCCAGGTCTTGTTAACTTGTAATGGGCGCTTATAGTTGAGTAAAATAATTAAGCATCAATTTCACGCCTAATTCACCTCTATATTTTACAGTTAACTCCACAGCTAGATAGGGAAGGCAATAAAACCTTTAATGTGATAATTAAGGATGATTATTGGAGATTTAGGTGGCAGTTTCGGTTGTATATCAGCACAATAACAATGTCACTTAAATGCCTATTTACTCATAATTACGTAGCTCACAGCTGTTATAATATTTATGTTGACAATTGAAGCAATTACACTTATACATTTGTGTTTTAAATTACAATAATTAAAATTGTATAATTATAACCAGAATAGTTGAAACTTTCAATAATTTTTCTTGAACTATTCTAGTTAAATAATGTATTAAATAAATCATTAACTATGAATATTACATACAATACCTAGTTCCGAACTAAGTTAAGTTTGTACTATACGAGTATTATATATTAATATATATAGTAATAGCTGATAAAAATACCAATATATATATTTTTATTCTGAATACATAGAAAGATAATTGATCGATACAAATGGATGGTGGTGAGGGAAATGTTTGTAACGGACACTGGGGTGCCCATTGCTAGGAATGTACGATGAGAAGTCGATCTCTAGTTCTTCCTGGAAACTATTGTAATTAATTCCTAGTGAATGAAGGGTTAACTGATCTTACATCATGCTTTTATAAATACACTATACAGTTATCTCGCAGACCGTAACGTTAGCGAAGGGTAGTGTATAATTCCATATTAATCCATTAAAAATCAAACGGATATAAAGAATACAAAATTATATGTCGTATTCTTGATGTAATTATGGGAAAGTGAAAATAGTGTGTCAACAAATCGTTAGACTTCTAAAGCATTGTTATCGAAATTACATATGCAAATTTGATCTCTGGGACTAACTGGTGTAACACTCGTTGCAAAAATTTTAGCACTTAACCAGTAGTAAATGATGGTAAAAGCTTTTATGAACTGATCAAACAAACGTGCTGTATTTTTAAGCGCGCGAATGCAGATGAATAAAAGATTTCTATTTGCGAACTATCGGATTGTGTGTTTATGGCGGCGCACGCAGCTGCACAGATGTAAAATCAGTCAGTGTTACCAACACATCGTGATCAACTGCCTATTAAAACCACCACATACTACACCTTTCCCTATAAAAATATTTATGAAACCACTAATACAAGCACAAATTTTGAAGTTTGCTTGAAAAATAATTATTCGACAATTTTACTAAACAATAATTTACCCCATATTCATCATAATTTATATAATTCAACATAGTTACTATATATATAAAAATTGCATTGAATACTAAAATTATCCGCTAAGTAATCGAGTGAAATATCTATATGATCTATACCAAAATAATCATCATTATGTTGTTGATTTTTTAAGTATATGCACTAAAAATGTACTACCCACACAAAAGAAGGGATCAAATCTACCAAATGTAGTGGTGAAACTACTAAAATGGCAACAGTGATTACGTTGCCAATGAGAAGTCGAGCCGCGGCAGACGGCAGGCGGCAGGCACCGCGCCATTACCACACCGAGAGAGTTCGCGTGCACCGTAAAAGTTGCAATAAAGCGCACTGAAACTTTACGAGCAGCTGCAACTCGGCTGAAGAGATCTGCACGTACATACATATATCTTGATTTATTCCTTTCCTTTTAACGACGCTTTTTATTCCGTACGCACGTGGAAATGTTCGTACTGAATAATTAAAGTTCTTTTAGTGAGTGCGCAATATTTCTATATATCTCGACGCTGGTTCCCTTAGGAGACAGTTTCAGTGTAAATAGGTACTTATATAAATAGGTATGCATATGTTATTGAGTTAGGTCGCTGTACGAAATTGTGAAGCCGTTTTCCCTGTTTTTATTATTATGAAAATGTTTATTATTTAGAAGGGTAGACAGATAAAAATATATTATGGTTGGTTATCTAATATAGTCTTTTTGTACATTTATAAGATAGTAAATGTTTAAATTGATGAATGAACTTTTAAAGCTTCATGCTTTAAAAGGTAAAAACATACAATAAAAATTTTTGCAATTTATATTAATATTAGTTAGGATGTAGTAGTAAGTAAGCTTTCATCCATCGGTCATATCACACGCAAATTCCATAATTCATAACACAAACGGCACGGCGGCAAAACCAACAGTGCGTAGTACGACACGTCATGATTTAATGTATGGTGTCACATAATTCTTTTCTGTTTATCGCGACATATAACAAACAGCGATGGAAGAAGCATCTCTATACAATTCGCATATATTTACATTCTCAGTGATACCTGTATAAATTTGTTAACAAGTTTCTATCTTTTTGTGAAGAGTACGCGTTCCGAATAAGTGGTAGAATAAAAAAAGTATGACTATCCAAAAGTGCTTATATTGAGTTTATTTGAATAAAGAATATTTTTACTCGTATGTAGTTATAAATTAAGACCAATTCTAAATACAAATTTTGATTTAAACTCGTTTAAAGTAACTGGATAATTATTAGATGGAGACTAGTATGACAGTCCACTGGTTACTCGTCAGCATCTCTAATATGAGATTCCAAGAGTCCTAAAGCCGCACGCTGACAGATGTCCGCTTGTCCACGCCACTTTATCATCGCCCGAGACAAAATGATAAATAAGCTTGTTTTGAATCCGCCCGCGTCTGAGCGTGCCGCTATGTTTGGGTAATTGTGAATTATTGCCACGTCCCTTCAGGTTTAGCTATATACCTATCGCGCTCCAGATAATAGTGGATCCATGGTGATTTATATATAAAATATTAGCTTTTACTCGCGACTTCGTTTCAGAGGTCTTCCTGATTTATCTATTGGAAAGTTGTTACCTATGAACTCAGTAGGATAAAGGATTCTATATACCATAATAAGATAGATTCTATATATAATAGTGTATGTGATTTTTTTGAGTTGCTTTTTTAAATACTAAATAATAGTAGAAATAACGGTACTAAGCCGAGAGAAATACTGAAATGCATATTCTTGTATAGATACAAAACTAGGTAGAAATGACAGAGATTAGTACTAATAATGGCGTTCACGAATGCAATTATTTGTATAATATCGCGGTGATCGAACAATCAACTATTGGTTTCATGTAATATTGTAATTAACTCACGTTTCAATGAAAACGATTTATGAGTTAATCCGCTACATCACCGCGGCTGTCACTGTGTTTGCAAATGTATTTGATTACTTCATGGAAGTTAGTAATAACATTGCAGCTTTTTTTGCTATTCAATTAGTACGGATCTTAAGTGATCTTACTAAGGTTTCCGGTCGAGACAAACTGTGCTGCAATCGTCTAGACTTCATACAATTACAAGTTCAAGAGAACACGAGTCGAGAAAGCAGTGCTCCGAGCACTTGCACAGTTTTATGCTGCTTGTACTAATTGAAACATGATAATAGCCTAATATCTTAATTAAGCGAATCTCGAGTTGGAAGAGTAATAACATGTACCTACTTATTTTACAGGAATATAATGGCGTTACACAAAAACCTGCGGTTTGAAATTGATTAACAGAAGTTGGCCAGACCCTTGATCTAGATTTGCCAAACTGTCTTTTAATAGCAACAAAATAATTGAGTAAACAGAGAATTCAGAAAAAAATTAAAATATAGATTTTCTACAAATCTCCGAAAGAGCTTTTCCAACTGTTCCAACGATATTTCTGAAGAAAAAAACAGTAAAACTTGTCTAAATCTAAATCGTCCTATTAATACATTGTCTTTTTATCGTCATAATGAATTTTATTTTAAAATAGTCACTTCCTACAATTTCGTCTTTTTTGAGATAATTAATGATTATAAAATTAATGTTTACAAACAAAGCGTAAATTATTTTAGCTCTCGAATACGCCAGGTTTCGAAAAAGAAAACTGCATCACAATCGGTTAATTTGCTATAGACATACACAAAGACTTGTCGAATATAAATTTGCGTTGAGAAATAAAAAATACCGACTGATAATGTAGATATGTGACAGTTTTAAAAGCAAATCATTTTTATATTATTAGTGCACTCATGCGTAGTCAATAGGACCCAATTGCTGACACCTTGAGGCGGTGGAAGATCGATTTCCTATTAATTTCTGGTAACGCTACTGAGGGTAAAAAATTAAACCTAAAGATTACATGTACATACTTGATAAATATAGATAGATCGTTGGTATATATATATTTCTTGAATTCATATCAAGATTGTGTATGTTTTCTTATATGTTTATTCATAAAGAAATGCATTTTTTTGTGAATAAATTTATATTATGTATTTGTATAGTTTATATTCTGTTAGACGGTGCTACGTGAATTGTAATGGGTTATTATTATTAAAAAAAACTGGAGTGGAATCTACTCTAGTTTTTATTATTAATAAACAAATAAATTTTAATTTATACGTACGGTAATAACATTAGTAGCGACTTAGTAATTAAACAATTTGTAAGACAATAAATTATTCAAACCTGGCGAAGAGTTCGTTGAGGAGGCGCACAAGTTCCTCGGCAGTGCACTGGTCCGATAGAGAGGTGAAGCCGCAGATGTCCGCGAACAGGATGCTGCCAAAAAAAAAGTATTACTTACGAGTATGTACAATTACTGTGTTATAAAGATTTGTAGATTTTATCTAATGGAAGAGGACGCCATTACACATAGTACACATCTTATGTGTTTCCAGCCCACCCATGTATAAACCAAATATCTCCTTTGGAAAGTACACTTCCTATGTTGAGCAGTTAAAAATCATCGCTCCTAATAATATCCTTTAATTCTTGACTCAAAAAAGGGCGAGCACAATAAACTTGTGTGTCGCCCTTTTTTATACCGGTTGTAGTTCTACAGGTGTCTTTAGGACCGAGTAATAGACCAATCCATATTTAAACTTAATAAAAAATAAATCGTATAAAAATCATAATCAATCATATAAATATTTTGTATGGAAACTAATTGCATTAATAGATAAATTTTAATTTTGACGAGGTTATCGTCTAGTATTGTAGTATGCCACCTCAACTATCGCTGGTTCGATTCCACACAAGGTACAAAGGTTGTATTGATCTGGATATTGTATAGTGCAACAAACCTATGTCTTAAAACTCCTTCCCATACTTCCTCCTTCTACACTAATTCTTTCGCTGTGTACGCCGTGCGACTGTGGAACTCACTACCATCCTCCATACGTAGCGCTCAATCATTAGCTATTTTTAAAAATGCTGTAAAATCACACTATCTCTCTCTTTAAATTGTCTTTCTACTATCCTTTCCTTTCTACTAAATTGTCTCTTTCTTATTTGCACATTGCTTAGTTACTGTGTATTATTACTAATTTACTTTTTTAATTTTATATTTATATTTATATTATGTATAATGTATGTATATTTATTTATGTTATGTTATGGATATATATGACATATTACTATTATTATTCATGTTGATTCATTCTATCTTGCGCCATCCACCACCTTCTGTCTTTTCTCCTCTACCCAAAGGTTGTCTGGAAGAAATCGCTTTAGCGATAAGACCGCCTTTTGTGCCTAGCCTACCTTTCTGTACATTATGAATATTGTTTTTTTTTTGGATTGTTTTTAAGGTGCAATAAAGAGTTATAAAATAAATAAAAAAAATATTTTAAATGTATATCGAGTCAGAGAAAGCAATAAAATAATACTCGATGTAAATTGTGGCATAAAATTCTTTTGAGAAAGTTATAAGTATAATTTTAATTTGACCAAATATTCGCCCGTCATTGATATATTCGTTTATCCTATAATAAGCCGCTTCACTGAGCGTCGTTTTCGTGTAAGCTCTTAAATCTTCATTCGGGTTGGTTCAGAAGAGATTTTGGCAGTGTATGTAAACCTTACATAATTTTCTAAAACCGAATTACCGACCTTTTCTACTCAACATAGTGGTTTCAGCAATTTGCTCATGAAGCGTAAGCTTGTATAACGTGATTGCCCACTTTTGAAAGATTTTTCTTACTTACTAAATAATATGGATTACGAAGTATATATAGTCATTTAATCTCAACGAAGTAATGAACACTCTTTAATATATGTACTTGTTTTTTGTACAACAAAATAGAATGCTGGTAATGAATAATGTTTAGTCGACATGTTCGTGTGTATTTGCATTGGCAAGTACGAATTAGGTACATGCATTTCTATTGTTAATTGAACTATTCAATGCAAATCATTTTTAAAAGAGTAACTATGCAAACTGAGATATTTATATCCTTGTTTTTATGCTTGAACAATAAAGGAAGATTGATAAGTAAACAGTAGGCAAGTACCGAAAAAGTTTTCGAGTAATTTTAGAAATATTGAATTTAAGAAAAGCAAAGAATAAAAATATATTAGCATTCAATTAAATATTTTTCAAAACAGATAGTATTCATAAAAAATGTCTAGTAATTGATATTCTACAGTTAATGAAGGTAGTTCTGGTATCATAGGCCATTTATATATACTGTCAAAGACACAAGTTACATATAAACAGAATTTTTATTTTCAGATAATATGAAATCATCTGATCTGACCAACTGAGCAAGCACTTTCTTGAATCATAGACATTAATTTTGAAGTATTTTTCATTTCTGGCAGTCATATATACTATCTGTTTCTGTTCCTATTGTATAGAATAGAATAGAATAGAATAGAATAGAAAATCATTTATTCAAATAAACTTACATTGAAGCACTTTTGAATAGTCATTACATTTTTTTTAATCTACCGCTCGTTCGGAAAGCTGTCTCATCACAAGAAGAACGAGCAAGAAACTTGCGTGTTGCTCTTTTAAATAATTTTATTATTACTTTACATTTTTAAGTTTAAGTGTGTGAATACAAACCACCAATTAGCACTAATTCAATTAAATACTCAAAAAGGAAAAAAGATTGAATACGTAACCAACTGGTTAAACAATTAATAAGAGGAAATCAGTCATAGTGATTAGAGCAGACCAGTCCCTACAAGCAGCACCCGTTCACGACTATGACGGATGAGCCAGCCATCACTGCGCTCGACCATATTTTAGGGAGCCCAATGACCCGGCCCACCACGCCGCCACAAGTCTGGACATTTTAGTGAGCATGACTACTCAAAACACTAGACCACGTCAAAGCTACTCACAATTGCCATCTGATAGTTATAGTATTCACATTTTACATAAGAATGCATGCGGCAATTAATACAAAAACCGCTACGCTTTCATATTTCTAAAATCAATCAATTAAATCAAGAAAGCAATGAGAAAATAAAATTATAACGTTGTATGCTAATAAACTAATTATTTACTTGATATGTTGTCATCTATGAATTCGTCTATCCTGTAATAGGCTTTCTTACATAAAAATTGTTTAATATAAGATTTGAATTGCCTCTCTGTCAGATTTAATGCAGATTCTGGCAGTTTATTATAAAATCTTATGCAATTACCATAGAATGAATTACTGATTTTGTGCAGACGGCATTTAGGTAAAATAAGCTTATTTATATTGCGTAAGTTTCTACTTGTACAGTCTTTGAGTTTTTTAAAACTCTCTAAGTTCTTCCGTGTATACATAATATTTTCATAAATGTATTGTGAAGTAACTGTGAGGATATTTGAGTCTTTAAAGCACTGACGTAATGACTCTCTTGAACCCATACCATAAATAGAACGTATGACTCTCTTTTGTAAAACAAATATAGTATTTATATCGGCTGCTTTACCCACACACAATGCAGTACAGTACAGCACAGCAGTATGCCATAAGACATTATGCTATGGAAATAACTAAAATATACAAGTTTAGCCGTCGCCACGTCTGTTAATTGCCTAATTCTTCTAATTGCATATGCAGCAGAACTGAGTCTACTGGCCAATTTTGAAATATGGGGCCCCCATTGTAATTTCGAGTCTACTGTAATACCTAAAAAAACTGTATCATTAACAAAATTTACTATTTCGTCATTAAGCAATAACTGTGTATTTATTAGTCTTACATTAGGAAGTGTAAATTTTATACACTTTGTTTTGCTGGAATTTAATAATAGGTTATTACATGTAAACCAATTTAATATTGCAGACATAGCACAATTTACATCGTCTAATTGATTACTTTGACGTCCAATTTTAAACACTAACGAAGTATCATCCGCAAACAGCACTATATCTGCAATTTTCTCTACCATAAAGGGAAGGTCATTTATGTAGATTAAAAAGAGAAAGGGGCCTAAGATTGACCCTTGTGGAACGCCCATCTTAATATTAGCTCCCTTAGATTTTACACCGTCAATATCTACAGTTTGGACCCTATCCTCTAAATAAGTTCTCATTAATTTTAGATCATTATCTCTTATACCATAATGTTCGAGCTTGTACAAAAGCGTTTTATGATCCACACAATCAAATGCCTTTGATAGGTCACAAAAAACTCCGAGTGCATCCTGTGACTTCTCCCAAGATTCGAAAATATGTGTCATTAGCGCAACACCTGCGTCAGTGGTAGACTTGCCGGCGGTGAAACCATATTGCTGACTGTGAAGCAGTCCGTTAACCCTGAAGTGTTGTAACATTTGATTTAACATTATCTTTTCAAACACCTTACTTAGAACTGGCAAAATAGATATAGGTCTATAGTTCCCTGGCTCAAATTTATCTCCTGATTTAAATAGTGGGATTAATTTACTAAATTTCATTAAATGTGGAAAAACGCCATTATCAATACATTTATTAAAAATAGTGGCTAGATATGGAGCAACAATATCTATGAAAGAACTAACTACTTTTACAGACATGCCCCAAAGGTCTTCCGTATTTTTTAAATTTAACTGTTTGAATATTTTTATGATATGAAAGGGGCTAACATGTGAAAATTTAAATCCTAAAGAACAACAACCGATATTAGTCTCTAGTAATTTTTTTGCTCGAGATTGAGATGAGTCCAGAGAAGATGTAATATCAATCGGAATATTAACAAAAAAATCTTCAAAAATATTAACTACATCTTTTGTTGTTGTTATTAATTTATTATCATAATTTAATGTAAATTGATTACAGGCTATTTTAGATCTTCCAGTTTCTTTATTTATAATGCTCCAGATGGTTTTAATTTTGTCAGAAGACTGCTTAATTTGTTTATTAAAACAATTAGACTTAGCCACAATACAAACTTTTTTAAAAATTTTAGAATAATTTTTCACATAAGTGGTGAATTTGTCATCAAATCGATATTTTTTTTGATCGTATAAATCAAACAAAATATTTCTACTTTTAAGTATTCCTACTGTTGCCCATTCCGTGAATTTAGATTTAACATGAACTTCTTTTTTCTTGAAAAATTGTTCATATTCTCCGGATAAAATATTAATTAGCTTGGTGTAAAGATAATCAGGATTATTACTAGATTGTAACAGCAAATCCAATTTATTTTTAATCGCGCTTTTGTATTTATTAATATTGTAAACATTTATTTGTCTTTTTGATTTTTTATTATTGTTGACTTTATTGATTTGACTGCTAAACTTAACAACTTGACCACAGTGATCTGAAGGAAGTTTATTTATTATGAATTTTT